ATAGATGCGTCGCAAGCTCTACAAAGCAACAAAAAGCCACAACTCCGTAATGTGACTTGACTTGAATTGACTAGGAGTCTTTTCCCCAACCCGACGATGGAACTTCCTATCCCATAACGTATGACTCTATCCGTATATACTCCAACACCGTTCTATACCCGACATGAGCTCCGGACATAGCTATTCATAGCATCATGTAATATATGAGCAACGTGTGTCAAAAATAATGTACGGGGGCTCCAGCACTATGTTGCTATGATTGCGGATTGTTCGTCCTGAATCCCCTTTCAGGTTGTTTGGAACCCATTCAAGAAGAGCTCAATGGTGTCAACGTAGACTTCTTTGTTACTTATTGTAGCGTGTATGTGGGGGTTCTGCTCGAGAGCCTCGACCCACTGATGCCAACGTGTCCCTGGCACGGGATCGGTCCAGTTGCGGAGTTGGCCCAACACCCGTGACAGACGGAGCACGAATGGGGCGAAATGTACGTCAACCAGGCATAAATCGCCTCCAAGGAAATACGGACCCTATGGTCTTTGTTAGTTACACTGGGATGGAAGCCCATTCCATCGTATCTGGGACTTACCCGTTCATCGGCAGCCTGGACCAGAGCCATGATGTTGTTTTGGAGTCTGCCTTGCCTCTCGCCCTGCTGCGTAACATCATCTTCCCTCAGAAGAGCGAAATACGAAGGCACGATTTTAGAGTTGATCTGGTCCAATGAGCGCATGCTTCACGGGTAATTGGTCATATCGACTTACATGATCAATCCACAGCCTACAGTTCGCTTTTAACCTTGGGTCCGTGGGAAATAGAGGGACCGTTTGATCATGATCCTCAAGCTAGAGAAGATGAGTTGCTGTGGCACATCGATGCTGTTGCAACGGTTCAGTACTTACATATTCAAGGATGATGGCGCTCTCGCCGCTTGCCCAGTCCCCTTCACGAATGGCAGGCACGGTTCCAATAGGATTGGCTTCGAGAAGCTGCGTCGGTCGTCTGTACGGATCCGTCTCACAATACTGATACTGTATTCCTTTTGCTTCTAAAGCGATCCAGACACGCTGGGAAAAGGGACTAAGAGTCATGGTCAGATATCCACGTAGCTCATGTACAAGGGAGCAATGGTACCTACCAGAAACACGCAGCGTATAGCTTGAGCTCGTGCTCCTTCAAATGCTTCTTGGCTGTGCCCCACGCGGGACCCGTTGTCTTCCTGACGAACGGCTTTGACTTTGCCTTCGCCTCCTTTTCTTGCGCACTGACAAAGCGCTGGACCGTGGACTTTTTGATCTCGTCGCTCTTTGCTAGGGAGTGCTTGTGAGGACCAGCCACGCCGTCCCCTTTCCCATTGCCGCCATTGCCGTTGACACGCTGGATGGTCCAGAACTTCTCGCCGTCTTCGCCAGGTTGTATCGGGCGCCCATTACCGTCGTAGAACACGGGCTGCTCCGGTGAGGGATACGCGCCAGAGCCCACGCTATCATCTAGTTGTAACGTCGCACCTGGGTAGTATTCCGTGATCTTGATCTTGACATCACATAGATCTCTCTCCCGCGCATTCCGCTTCCGCTTCTTCTTAGTCGGATCGTCGGACTTGGGTGTCCCTGGTGGCCGGCCTTTCATCCGGCAGTCCCAGTAGTGAGAGACGAACGGTTTGCGCTTATATTTTTGCGTTGACCGGTGCGAGTAGACATTATCAATGTGCGGGAAGTATGTCTCGAACTCTTCATTGGACAATAGTATGGTCTCGTCGACACTGAACAACTTCTCGCGCCATGCTGCCAGATCAGGCGGGTGGACAACTATCTTGTTGACCAGTTGGCCGTGTGGTCTGTTCTCCAAAGATTCGGGCGCTGTGGCAGCAGCGAGACTCGCAAGATAATCATCCTCCTGCTGGAGCTGACTTATCGCCGGGGCTATAGGTACACCATACTGCCCGTTGTTTCCATGACCGCTGTGACTTGGCGGTGCAGAGTGCGGCGGCGGCGGCGGCAGCGGCAGCGCTGGCGGTGGTGGAGGAGGAGGCGCAGTAACGGGAGGCGCATCGAGTTGATGCTGATGATGGTTCGGTCGAAGTATCGGAAGCTCTTGGGCTGTTTCCAACCGCTGGGGGAGGGGCAATGAGTGAGTGTGGGCATGTGTGTTGTGGAAGACGGACGAGTCGGTGCCGTCGAGCACGCCGAGACTTATATCATCATGGGAGGGGAGGTCTTGGGAGGGAAGGCCATGGGAGGGGATGGGGGGATGTATGGAGAAGTGTTGCGGAGGTGGAGGAGGGGCTGAGACATGGTGGTGAAGTATATGGGGGCTCTGATGATCGAGATGGGGGTTGGAATGACCATGGATTGCCAGTGAATCAGGCGTCGGATAGTGATGTGTCGATGTTGGGTCCATGTCTCGAATTTCAGACGATCATTGCGGGCCCAAGTGCGCAGTGCGAGTCCATTGCTCACGTCGTTGCATTTCATACATATGCTGGCCTGAGTCCTCACTAGAGATGTTCGCGGCCATCAGATGATGATGAGACTGGACCGTGAGAATGGCATGAGGGAACTGAGATTTAAGAGCAGCAAGCCATCCCACACGCGCCCACCATCGTGGAAGCCCCCGCGAAATGCTGGTCCAGAGATGCTGCCGATCCCCCCCAATAATGGCAAGTGCCAGTGCAGCTTTACACGAGCCGGACAGTTATCGATAGCGGATAGGCGCAAGAGCCCTGAAAATCCCCGGCCCATCTTCCGAGCCTCTTCAAGGCACCAACACTCGGTGTCAGTGAGCTGAACCCCTCATTTGCAACTTGTGAGGCTCTTCATTGCATTTCAGCTCCGGTTCCTGAGATAGATATCGAGGCTCAAGCATGTTGCTGCTTTAACATCTGACTTAAGTCACCAACTCAACCAAAGGGCCAAGGCTTTCTCTGGGATGTCATGTCTGCGACCAGCAGCCGGGCTTCTTCTCATCTGACTTGACTTCCTTTTTATCATGTACTCAAGCCGATCGCTATTTACTGTCAAAAAATGAGACACAGAACAATATGGTTTCCCATCTCATGCAAGTTAAATATGAGTTGCTTGGATGACAATTGCACTGTCCGAGCCTACATAGGTACCTACCTACCTACTGTAGGTACTTAGACACAACCCATCAAATACTGCAACAGCTCACAAACCGGTCAAGTGAAACGGAAGCTACCACCGAACAGCATCACTGTGATATGAACCGGCTCATTCGAGAAAGTATTGCATTTCTAGCAGAGCGCAGGCAGAGGCGTCAATTGAACCAACGGCTCCGTTCAAGTCCGTCGTCCCGAAATCGTTGCAGTGTTTCTCTATTGCGGTTTAGCATGGCAATCGCTCGATTGAGGGCTTCAATATCGCGGAAGATCCGGCCCAAAGAATCCCCAGATGCTGAGCGAGACATTTTGCTATCAATTTACCAGCGCCGTTTCTATGAGAAGTCTCGAAACGCCAGCAAGATCGTCCCTGCGGGTATGGCCATATGCGCCAAGGCCTATGGTGTTGCGTGAAAGTAGGACCCGGGTAGCTCAATGGGTCCGGAGTGTCACGAAGGGGTGCCCCCAAACGTGATCAACGTGTTCTGTTAAGCATCACCGATCCTGGTGGTTCTTCGGGATCTGCCTCATGATCTCCATCTCTTGAACCAGGTCCTTCTACGACAGGTGTGGCACCGGAAGAAGGGGATGGATCATCTGGGGAGCCTTGATGTGACTCTTGAAGGGCTTCTCTTGTATATTATTACCTGATTCAGTTTGCAGTACCGTATCAACATAGGAACGGACTGATCCCTCACTTGGCGACCTGTGTGGCCCGGAGAAGCTGTCAGATTCTGAGTGCGCTATGATGACTGGATTCGCCCACGACTGCCGCAGGAGGTTATTTGGTCGGCCGAGGATTCCTCCATATTCACCCACGTCCAAGGTCATGTTACTACGCGCTTCATGCTGTGCCGAAACTCTATTTGACAGTCCACGCGCTGCTGAAGGACCAGGGGCCTTGTTCTGATTTGAACAGGGGGTACCTAGGACTACCGGCCCCTGTTCTGGAGGACCATTCCTCTCACTAACACTATCTTATTCATCCACATCTGGCACCTCCTTCCTCGGTGTTCCACGTTTCTTCGATGTACTGGATGTATTGGGAATGTGTTCGTTGTCGCCATCCGGGATAACCTTCCTTGGTTTACCTCGCTTTCTCGGTGCGTCAAAGCCCTCTTGCCCATTGTCTCCATTCGGCATGATCTTTCTCGGTATACCAGGCTTTCTCTTCACGTTGTGGAGTAGGAATATCTAGGCTTCGTTCGGATGCGACTTCTATCAGCAGATCACACAAAGCGACATTAGAAATCTACAAGGAAGATAGCTAATGCTTCGTTTGACGCACACAAGTCGAGCAACAGTAGCAGAGAGTGGCGGTTATAGTAACAATACAGAGTCTGGCAGACAATTTCAAGACAATCGCTGCTGGCTATAATATCAAGCGAACCATCCCCGGCGTTCGACACTTTATAGTAATAGATGTGGATAACCACTCAATGTAATAAGGTTGTCTACCATCTTCACCTATAGCCGAACTTCAGCTTATTCTACTACAACTGTAGCTCATACCTTTAAACGTTCTAAGCGTTCTAAGCGTGTTGCGACTGTTGCACAGGTAAACTAAGTTGCTCCGTATAAAATATATTTATTAGCAAAGCAAGCTTATAAACTTCAAATAGCAGACAGAGTACTGTTAATGGCGCTTTTTCATATAATAGTATCGCCAATAGAAACTTTACGTTAAAAAAAAAAAAAAAAAAAAGAAAAAAAGAAGTAGCTAAGCTACTGTTAGAGTCGAACCATCCCTAACCACCTGGCGGTTGTTACCTCGTGATGCACACACATTAACTACTTTGCTAGGAATGGTAGAATGACATGCTGTATGTAGCCCAAAAAAAAAATTCCCCAAAAAACCCGTCTCAAAGGCAAAAAGAACTGTTGATGCCCTTTACTGGAATCGAACCAGTCACCTCGTCATGTTCTAGGGAATAAGGATACTAGTGACGCGCTCTACCGATGAGCTAAAAGGGCTTGATTGTTGTTGTTGACGACATTTACCATAAAACAATCTATGTTGGCTAGCCTACGGCCCAGGCTCGAAAATGCGGAAAATTCGGCTGAATGCCGGGCACTGTCTGAACGCTAACAACTTGTACAGCAACCTTGCAAGCTAAACTGTTAAGAACATCATAGGAGAAGTTGGAAGATTACGAGCTGCACAGATGAAAACAATGTGAAAGAGACTTTAACACTAATACGAGTCCGCAATTGAGCCTTATGGATAGAGAGACATTATAAGTAGAGATGGAGACCAGCGGAGTTATACATCTGTTACGTCACACGCCTGGTTAGACTTGGTTTAGCGCCTGACCAGAAGTACTTCGGAGCGAGGGGCCTAGGGAGCTTTCCAATACCCATATCACGCCACATAGCTCCAGTATACTTAGGTATCGGATATCGGTAACTGTTTCTCCAATAATCTACTCAGACGGCACTGGTATAACCTGCACTTTATAAAAGATGGCCGATATCCCAGCTCACATTCGCGTGACTCAGGCGACGAGCATTGTGCTGCTCACAACCGCCTCAGGCCTCAACCTCGGACTCTCCTTCTTTGTGATCCCGCGCCTGCTGGAATCTCCAACTCCCTTGATGCTTCGACAATGGGGGAACATGTACAAGGTCACCTCTAAGGCTCTGCCACCAGCCCTGATGGTTCCCGGTTTCATCAACGCCTATCTCGCATACAAGTTACCTTCCAAGGCGCGCCTGTATGGGTTTGCAGCAGCCGCTGCTCTGAGCATCTTGCCCTACACATACGGAGTACTGGCGCCAATCAACCGGAAGCTTCTAAAGAAGGTGGAGGTTGTCAAGACTCTAGACATGGCCATTGACGATGTACTGGGAGAGGAGATGGGAACGAAGGAGGAGACGGGACATGCTCTGATTGATCAATGGGGGCTTTACAACCTGTATAGGGGAAGCGCTGCTTTCGTTGCTGGATGTGTTGGATTGTATGCTGCATTGGCGTGAGTGCATGTGGTTGAAGGGATCTTCGAGCTATCATATGCATTACTGCTGGATCACGTACGCTCTCAGCTCAATTGTACTATAGGAATGTCGTTATCATACCAATCATGTTGGTGAAGCAGCAAGTCACTAAGTGACAAGACAGCAGCGGTATAAATCAGTATTGCCAGCGTCTCTTCTTGTTATCCCAGTAGTACGAGGAATCATCAATGAATATGATAAGACATGTGGTATCCCGGCTATCCAGGTATCCCACAGCTAGATACCTTACTATGAAGCTGTGAGGTTGACTTCTCTAGAGCTCTCTTCTAGGCTGATAGCGGCCTGATCCGCTGCGTTGTTGTTCCGCCCTACCCGTCTGGAGCCCCACTTTCCCCTGGTGCCGGCACCGACCCCTGCTCGAACGCGCGGATGAGGCCAGCTTGGCTGTTGGAGAGCTGTCAATTCACCACCAAAAAAGAACATCGCCCAACTGGAATCCATGAACAACCGTCCCTGAATATCAACCACACAGGCGACAATGGCCGTCGCATCGGACTCCCACCCGCTCGAGGCCCTTGCGGACCTGGGTAAGAACAAGAGCACCAAGACTATCTTGAGAGTCCTCATTCTGTTCTTCATCGCCGGCGCAGCTGTAGCTAGCCGTCTTTTCTCCGTCATTCGTACGTTATCCTCGCCGAAGCTTCACGAGGTCCAATTAGGACCAAAGTGCTCTCCTTGATGCTCTGAGACTATTGGCTCGAGACTGGTTCCATTGATGTGAACGTAGGCTAACATTGTACGACAGGTTTCGAGAGTATCATCCACGAATGTCAGTCCGATTGAGCTTCATCAGCTTACAACAGTCTCCCCTTTCATCTCGATCTGAATACTAATATCCATCAGTCGACCCTTGGTTCAACTTCAGAGCAACAAAATATCTGGTTGCAAATGGATTTTACGACTTCTGGGATTGGTTCGACGACCGAACATGGCATCCTCTGGGACGAGTAACAGGTGGAACACTGTATCCCGGTCTCATGGTCACGAGCGGCGCCATCTACCACGCTCTTCGAGCTCTGACTGTCCCTGTTGACATTAGAAACATCTGTGTTCTTCTGGCACCTGCCTGCTCGGGTCTGACTGCCTTTGCCGCATACCTACTCACCAATGAGATGACCGAGTCCTCATCTGCTGGGTTGTTGGCTGCTGCTTTCATGGGAATCGCCCCAGGTTACATCTCGCGATCGGTCGCTGGCTCGTACGATAACGAGGCTATTGCCATCTTCCTACTGGTCTACACCTTTTACTTGTGGATCAAGGCTCTGAAGCTGGGATCCGTCCTCTGGGGTGCACTATGTGCCCTCTTCTATGGCTACATGGTTGCCTCCTGGGGTGGCTACGCCTTCATCACCTGTCTGATCCCTTTGCACTCCTTCGTGCTCATCTGCATGGGCAGGTACAGCAGCAGACTCTATGTCGCTTACAACACTTGGTACGCCTTGGGAACGCTTGCTAGCATGCTGATTCCCTTTGTGGGTTTCTCGCCTGTCCGCACCAGTGAGCATATGCCAGCCCTTGGTATGTATCCCACCTGTATTCTACCAAAATGTGATTACTCTGACTGACAACTTGCCAGGTATCTTTGGGTTCCTCCAGCTTGTGGGCTTCTTGGAATACGTCCGTTCTGCCATTCCTGGCCGCCAGTTCCAGACTTTCCTCTATGTGGGGATGGGTGGAGTCTTCGGCATCGCCCTCCTCGCCCTTGTTGGTTTGACAACAGCAGGCTACATTGCTCCTTGGTCCGGTCGATTCTACTCTCTTTGGGATACTGGCTATGCCAAGATCCATATCCCCATTATCGCCTCAGTATCTGAGCATCAGCCCACCGCCTGGCCCGCTTTCTTTTTTGACTTGAACATGCTTATCTGGCTGTTCCCAGCTGGTGTCTATCTATGTTTCCAGAAGCTTGAGGATCAGCATGTCTTCATCGTAGTCTATGCCGTTTTCGGAAGCTACTTCGCTGGAGTCATGGTCAGATTGATGCTCACTCTTACGCCCGTGGTATGTGTTGCTGCTGCCATGGCGGTATCTCAGCTCCTCGACACCTACCTGGTCGTCAAATCCCCAGACCCGACAGAGCAGGAATCGGACGAGGTCACCGAAGCGGCCGCAAAAAAGGCAGCCAAGCAAGGTGCTTTACGTAGTGCATCCAAGCCCTACATTGGTATCTACTCCCTTGCCTCCAAGGTTGTCGTGGCTGGAGCGATGACTGGCTATCTGGTGCTCTTCGTGCTTCACTGCACTTGGGTTACTTCCAACGCCTACTCCTCTCCATCCGTCGTTCTGGCCAGCAGAATGCCTGATGGTTCCCAGCACATCATTGATGACTACCGTGAGGCGTACCAATGGCTTCGACAGAACACTAAGGAAGATGCCAAGATCATGTCGTGGTGGGACTATGGATACCAGATTGGTGGTATGGCCGATCGTCCCACTTTGGTCGATAACAACACGTGGAACAACACTCACATCGCTACTGTCGGTAAGGCGATGAGCTCCCGGGAAGAGGTCAGCTACCCTATCATGCGCCAGCACGAGGTAGACTACGTCCTGGTCGTTTTTGGTGGTCTCCTGGGTTATTCTGGCGATGACATCAACAAGTTCCTCTGGATGGTCCGAATCGCCGAGGGTATCTGGCCCGATGAAGTGAAGGAGCGTGACTTTTTCACTGCTCGTGGTGAATACCGCGTCGATGGTGAAGCTACGGATACAATGAAGAACAGCTTGATGTAAGTTTCTCTACCTCGTCGTCAATCGGTGTATTACTAACCATTACCAGGTACAAGATGTCCTACTACAACTACCAAGCCCTCTTCCCACCGGGACAGGCTCAAGACCGTGTCCGAGGCTCCCGCTTGCCCGATCAAGGCCCAGTTCTCAACACTCTCGAGGAGGCCTACACCAGTGAAAACTGGATCATCCGCATCTACAAGGTCAAGGACCTTGACAACATCGGCCGTGATCATGCTGCTGTCGCATCATTTGAGAGGGGCCACAAGAAGAAGAAGGCCTCTAAGAAGCGGGGTGCAAGGGTTCTCAGAGTAGACTAGGTTTCCGGTGGCTGTATATTGATGATAGAGACCCTGCGCGTGCCGTCCATTCTTGCGGGTTCATGATCTTGCAATCTGGCTGAAAAGGGTTGCCCAGGATGGCAGGCATTGTTGTATGTATAACAAAAGCAAGAAGCGAAGCAAATAAATTTACTTGATAGATGACACCTGCTGGACGTTTGGGGTGCTTCCGCTTTTTTGGAAGAACTTTACAGTTGTCTAGCCTGAAAGTAATGTGATAGTGACAGAGCTGTTGCTGCGGTGCGCTGTCCTGCTGCACCCTGCGAGTTGAATCTCCTGGGTAGCCTCTTTGCATTGAGTGTTTCTCTGTCGAATTTCGAAAATATCTACCGGTGCCTGATTTTGATTTTCTGTTGAAGGACGGACTTTGGGTCCTCGATTCACCTCACACATTCCCTCTTTTCTTTTCAATCACAACCGCAACCACAACCACCCCCAACCTCACACCATCCTTCATCTTGACCATCCTTCCTGCTCCCAGCACCACATTTGTACCTTCCATCAAGCTAGATTCCGCATCTGCATTCCAGCAGCGTTGTCAAGCACGCTTTGATCTACTCTGCCACCTACTTTGAATCGCAGTGTTGGCGATAGTGAGGTCGCCTGCTGACAACGTTTGTGGTCGCTCCTTCCTTCCTACCATTTGATACTGTACAACATCCCGCTCTCGAGTTATGGACTCAAAGTGTGAAGGCGATGTGGAGGTCTAAAAAGTCCCGCAGACCAAGCGAGTAAGTCATCCCGATACCCTAGATTCTTTGTCTCCCTAGCTTTCCAGTTGGGATCATCGGGATGGGTCGGTCGTACCTGCCGTTGGTGATCATGGCTTCTGAGATCAATTTGACCTCGCAAGCTGTTCTCAACTGCCGAAATTCCCCGGATCTCATA